CTAGTCATAACTTATATTTACAATTTAAAATGAGAATGGTCAAGAGCAGTTTCTCACTCAACCACGTGACATTATTATAAACAGTAAAAGAATTTATATATTGCCTGGCGCCAGTGGCCTCGCCTGTAATCCTAGCTACTCTGGGAGGATCCCGAGATGGCTGATGCTAGAAGATCAGGAGGATCAAGGTTCAAAGCCAGTTTGTGAGACCCTATCTCGAAAATACCAAACACAAAAAAGGGTTGAGGGAGTAGCTCAAGTGGTAGAGCATCTGCCTAGCAAGCGAAAAGCCCTGAGTTCAAACCTTGGTACCACCCCCTAAAATTTTTAAAACACAAAAGAATTTATATTGCTTCAGTTACATTACACATTACTATTACATTGCCTCTTTCCCCCCTTTTTCCTGCTATTTAACAAATTCAATGCAGATTGTTTAGCATGTGTTTCATGTTTTAGGGCATTATAGACAGCTAGAGTTTCGGGGTTGGAAAGCACTTAACATATCTGCTCTGTCTTTTTCCTGAGCTAGGTTGTGTGTGATAATTTTTAAAAGTAGAAAATCCCTACATATACAATTTGAAATGAGAATGATCAAAAACAGTTCTTCACTCAACCAGGTGTGACACTGTTATAAACAGTAGAAGAATTTATATTGCTTAGGTTGCATTACTCATTATTGCTACATTGCCTCTTTAATATAAACTCATTCTTCCCCTCCCCCCCTTTTTTGCATTTCTTTTTTGAGATAGGGTATCACTACACAGCTCAGGCTGGTTAGGTTGGCCTCAAACTGGCCATCTTCCTGTTTCAGTCTCCAGGGTACTGGAATTATAGGCCTGTACAAGTGCCCAGCTTTCTCCCCTTTGTCTTTGAAAATGTTCTTTATGTATTATGTAAAGAAATAATTTTACTGAGAAAAACTAGAAGCAATAGAAAAGCAAAAATTGAAAAGTCGCCCATAATCACACCACCTTGTCATAACTACTGGTAACATTTGGAGAAGACCATTCACTATTTATGTAACTAGTTGGGCTTTTGTTTTTCCTTCAAAAATGGGAACATAGTATTTTTAGGAGGGGCAGTACTGGGGCCTTGTTCTTGCTGGGTAGGTACTCTTATCATTTGAGTCATACTTCCAGCCCAACATTGTATTTTTTCCTGCCTCTTTTCCTTGAAGGATATAGAGGAGCATATTTCCATGTTAATAGATATTTATTTACCTAAGTCATTCTTAATGCTTGTACACTATTGCAACATTTTGCCAATCCCTTCTGACTGGACATTTACGTTGTTTCTGTTAGCCTTTCCTCTCTCTGCACTAACTGTCCAAAGAATCATTACTGCTGTGAGGATTTAGATGGAACACCATGGAGACAGAGGGCAGAAATATTTTTCAGTCATTTTCTCAATGTGATTTCCACTGTCAAGAAGGAAACCCTGCAAAGAACAGGGAACTTGATGAAGTGGAAAAGATGAGGTTTTGAGCCAGTCTGGGATTTGAATCTGGCTTCTGTCTCTTATTAGCTATGGAATTTTTTTTCCATGGGACTGGGCTTTGAACTCAGGCTTGGCACTTGCAAAGTAGGCACTCTACTGCTTGACCCACACCTCCAGTCCATTTTGCTCTGGTTAGTTTGGAGATGGAGTCTCTCGAGCTATTTGTCTGGGTTAGCCTTGAACTGCAAACCTCCCAATCTCAGCCTCCTGAGTAGCTAGGATGACAGGTGTGAGCCACTGGCGCTCAGCTAGTTATGGAATCTTAAATGCGTTATGCGGCCTTCCTACACATTTTCTCATTTGTAAAATAGGATCCTAATATTTATTTCATGGAATTCTTGGGAGGATTAGCAATCTCATAAATTTAAGAATCTTGCCCAGTGCCTGACACATTAGCGGGAGCTGGAGAAATGGGAAGGTAGACTATGCATTACACATGACCTTTCCCTCAACCAGAGAGCACCAAGGAAATAGCCTTTTCAAAAGTGTCACTGTCATAAATTTTTAAAGGAAATGCTGAGAAAGATGACTGATATGAGAATGGTACTGTAGTTATAAGCAAGATACTGTGGCTAGAAATCTTGTACCAGCTTCTAAAGACCAGTGGGATAACAATGTAGTTTTAAGTCACACTGTGGTTTCAATGACAAGTTTCAGATAAAGGATAAGAGAAGGAACACCAAGCCCTTGACCTCACCTTTATGAACTTTATAAAACTAGATAATACCACCAGTGGACAAGCATTCTGGTAACTACTTGAATTTGGATACTTTAAAATAACTATTGGACATCTTCTAGCATGTTCATACTCTACCAAAATGGACATATTTATACAGTGGACTGAGATTAGTTTTTGAGATTCCATAATTATGGCCCCAAGCTTCTTCATAAACATTTGCTTTGCTTTCCAACTCCAATGGAGTAAAGCAATTAAAGACCATTCTCAATAAAAAGGCATACCAGGGTAAAGTAGTAGCCAATGAAGCAAGGTGTTGAGTAGAATCAGAAAAGAGGTCTTGTTGAACAAAGTCTACAGATCACAGATTTTAGGCAGATTTGCAAATAAGGATAGCACATGCTCTGTAAATAGCAGCTGTTGCCATAAGCCAAAGGGCAATATTTACATGAATCCTGTGGCAAGGTTTATTGACTAAACATAGACTTTTCCAGCCAAATTCACATACTTGGTAGTGCTTTTAGCTATGTCGTCTTGAAAAGGAAAGGATTACATTATATGTACATGGAAAATTGCCAAGGCACAAATATAGTATGTCCCCCAAATAAATTTCTAAATTAGTTTTTGGAACCTGGAACACATGTTCCCACAGAAAAGGTGGTATAGAGGGATGTGAGCTTTCCAGATTTCCTCACAAAAGTGCATTTAATCCATGGTGTCACTGAAATACTGCACACTGGCAATGAGAAATGCAGGGGAACAAAGTACTCTTGCAAGCAGGAACACATCAACACACAACAAATATTTCTTGAGTCTTTCTCCTTTTAAACCCTAGGCAATAAAAGGGTAATTTTTATCTTCCCTTAGCTACAGTTTGGTGAAAAAGAAATATTCCACTGCCACTGTTTGGAAGGGCCATTCTCAAATCAGGCAGATGTGCTTGTAGCAGCGGCTACAAGCTATAGAAGGAAGCTATCCTTCTATTTCAGGACTTCTCCAACTTATCCACCAGAGAACCCTTAATGACTAGAAGACTGTACTGGTAGTGGGCAAGGGGTAAGATATCTCACTGGAAGTCTCGAGGTTCTATGGAGATATTTTACATTTTGTAGTCCATTCCTTAACATATCTGCATATTTTAATATAAAAAATAATATTCAAATGATCGATTTTTTTTTACTGAGGTTGATACTCCAAAGTTATCATTTTGACACAGAGACACCCTATGCCCACTGGATGTTACAAATGCTATCAAGATGAGAAACCTGGGCACTGGAGAGGGTTGATCTAGAGTAAATGACAACATAATGAAGATAAAATCAGAGTAAAGTTAGTACAACCAGCTTCTTTTCTCTCACATATGCACACTCCTTTGGTAACCAGAATCTTGTCCTCTGCCATTTTTTCTCTGTTCAAAACCAGTCTTTGGGGCTAGTGGAGTGGCTCAAGAGGTAAAGCGCCTGTTTAGCAAGCATGAAGCCCTGAGTTCAAACACCAGTACCACCGAAAAAAAAAAATCAGTGTCTGGAAAGAATCTCACATTCGTTCACACCAGGGTGTAAATGACCAACAATAGCTAAAAAACAAAAAGTCAGAAGGTTTTTGTACATTAAGGTTTCACAGTTTTAAAGCAAAAAGGAATTTAGGGTATTAGTCCCAGGAAAAAGAAATATATTTGGCATCAACTTTGTGCTAGTTGCAGAAATCATACCTCATTTCAGATTGGTAATTTAGGAAGGTATGCTGAGGGAACTTAGTCATGACTTTTTACTTTGGACAGTATCTGCTTCATTTGGGAAATTGCATGCTTTGTGGTTGTTGTTTGGCATACTGTTTTCTATGTTTTGTTATCTCTTGTCTCTAATGACTGGATTTTAAATGCTAGGATGTAAATTTTCCCATTATTGATCAAGTCAAAAATGATGAGGAGGCATAAAAGCAATATTTAATAATTACATTTCCATGGTGTTGTACCCTTTCCAAAGTGCTTTTTACATACTGACCATGCTCATTTATTGGCATTGGATTATGATCAGATAATGATAATATGCACAGAACATGAACTAAAAGAAAAAAAAATCACAGCTATTCAATTCAATTACTAATATTAGGGACCTGCCATATGGTGCCCCAGGTTTTTGTGGAGGATTTTGACCTTGTCCCCCAGGAGTTTAAAATTCAGTGCTGAAGGCAAACAAAGGGCTGCACATTGGCCACCTGAGAGGTGCCAGAGTTGAAGATGGAACAAACATACATAAAAACCCGAGTCAGGTTTTGGCTTGGAAGTATTTGCCCTGAAGAGATTCAAGGGCTGCTTCACTTTCTGCAGAATTTAGGAAGGTGGGAATACACCAGTAATACGATTTCTTTAGGGACCTGGAAAAGGGCAGTCCCCAGAGGGGTTCTGGGCTTTGTGAATGGAGAAAAGACCTTCTCCTGTACAGTTATAAGCTGAGGAAAAGTTCTTTGTGCAAGAAGGGGAGAGCGCCCTGAGGCACAAAGAGCAGATTTAAGGGAAAGAGGATTCCTTTTGCACACATCTGGGAGGGGAGCTCAGCTCACTGATGGGGGCGTGTGAGGAAGGAATATTTTAGGGGGCCACAGGCTTCCCGCCTCCACCGCTGTCCGCGCCCCACACTCAGGCAACAGTTGGTCGTGCGGGGTTGGCCTGGGTTCTGGGTGGGGAGGGGGAGTCTCGCGATCGTTGGGGGGGGTGTGGAACGGGGGGGCGGGTGACGGGGGGGGGGAGGCCATGACGTAGGGTGGGTGGACGGAAGTGGGGCAGGGTTGAGGGTTATTTAAAGAAGGGGGGCCGAGCGAAGGGGTTGGAAGCGGAGCGATTCCCCACCCCTGCTCCATCTAGCTCTTTCCAGTGCAGCCACTGCCGCCGCCCAGGAGCCTCATCCCCTTCCTCGTCCCCCTTGTCGTTCCCGCTCCAACGCCATGGAGCCGGACACCGCTGCAGCGGCAGCCACCGTGGCAGCCGCTGATGCGACCGCCACAATCGTGGTCCTAGAGGACGAGCAGCCTGGGCCGTCCACCTTTAAGGAGGAGGAAGCGGCCGACGCGGCCACTGAAGCCACCACGACCACTGAGAAGGGCGAGAAGAAGGAGGTAAATAGGAAGGGGGTGTGTGTATGTGCGGTGGACAAATCCAGTGCCTGGCCCCTCCAAGGGGCCCAAACCCTGACCTTTAGGCGCCGACAGGTATCCGCCGAGCTCTGCAGGGATGGGGGCGACCGGTGTGTGGGGGCGGCGGAACAATCTAGCATTCACTCCCCTCCCCCTTTCTTCTCGCTGCCTGGAGGGCGGGGGTGGGGCTGGGGCGCGGGCGGGCGCGGCGCGGAGTGGAGGGGTGCCGTTATCCTTGGACTCCCCAGCCCTTCCACAGTCCCCGGCCCCCTCTACCTTCCCGGAACTGGGGTAACAGGGTGGGGGATGGGGCCGTGCAGGAAAAAGCCTCCGCCTCTCCCTCTCCTCTTGCTTGCTCTCTCGCTCTCCCTCGCTCTCCCTCCCCCCCCCACCTTCCCGTCGGCCTCTGCCTGGGAAATCTGGGCCCTTGAATCCCACACTCGCGCTAAAGGGGTTTGGTTGGGGCTTATTTTTGTAATTGGAATTTCAAGGTGCTGGTGGTTTGGGGGAGGGTGAAGTATGATAGCAAAGACGTTTATTTCTTTGATTGGCAATATTGGTCTTTTGGATTGCAGAAAAAAAAAATGTCCCTTGTTCCTTTGATCCCCGCCTGCTGAGGCGGGGGTGTCACTTCGAGAAAACGAGCTCTCCGCGTGGAACCCCACAACCCAAACCCCACACGGAGGGAGCCTGCACGCTGGCTTAGGAAAATTTCCAATGTCTGCACCCTCACCCTCTCCTGCCCCGCCCCCGACGGTATAGTGTTTCACTTCAGGGCCACCCAGATGGTCCCCCAATCCGGCCCCAAGCCTTCCAGGCTTCCGCCTCCCTCTCTCCTAGTGGGCGCTGCTGGCTCCTGGACACACGCAGGTTTTTTTTTTTTTAATTTATTTTTTGTAATAACCCAGAGTCTCCAGTATGAGCTGCTACTAACGTACCTAAGGGGACCGCTCTCATACCTATTACAGGCAAATCCAGAAAATATCTGTTATCTCCCATAAGGCATATTTCAAATGGACCGAGGTATGCAAATAAAATGATGAAACGCTTTGCAAAATTGAGAATGAAAGTAGAATGGAATGCAAGTTTTGACGTATAATAAAATCGCAGAACGATGTTTCTGGGTGGACTTCTTTCCATTTACCAATAGGCACGGTGGGTTGCTTCAGCGATCTCAAGTGGCTTTGTCTGAATCATTATATGATCCTATACAACCACATGAAAAGCTTTTGAGGGAAATTAACACCTTTCGCGTTGAATTACAAGAGTAATGTTAAATTCAGCAGTCTCCTAAGTGACATATTTTACTGTCGAGTAAACAGAAAGACAATTGTAGTGCTAAGTGAAAACCGTGGAAAACACGGGACTTAAGATCTGTGTGATACCTGGATCAATGAAGACCATACTGATGATTAAAGCTGGACCAAATAGCAAGGATCAATATAAATCACATATTGGGAAATTCAAAAATGTGTCTAGGTTTCCTTTATTCCCTAGGCTGGGCAAATGTAAGTGCTAAACTCTCTATATAAATGCAGTGATGTCGAATTTCCAGACTGTAAGTTTCTTGAATTGTGAAAAGACAGGATCAATTAAAAAAATCCTATGTAATATGCACTGAGTCGATTCCTATATATTCATGAATCTGTGGTCTCATAGTAAATTGCCCAATGGCATTACATATGTCTACTCAGGAGAGGGAAACGAGGTGCTACATTGCAGGCACTTCCTGATTTTGAAAGTTTAGTACTTGAGTCGCTACATCTTTTAATTTCTTTTCTTAAAAATCTAAATACATTGCATACTGTCTTGACTTCTTAAGGGGTGTGCTAAAAGTGTAGATTAACCTTTCCCTTGTGACCATCAGTTATTGTACTCTGAGAGTGACACAAAGGCAATTGAGAGCCAGCAGGTTGTTTCTTGGTAAAAAACCTCTTCTCATTCTCTTTCATTACTGTGTTGATTATTTTATTAGCATATATTAATTGTATAAAGGGGCTTCATTGTGATATTTCCATACATTCATTTAATGTACTTTGATCATATTCATCCCCTCTTGTTACTTACTCTCTTTTATCCCTCTATCTCTCCCCCCTTTTGAAAATAATTCATGGGTTCCATTTTGAAATTTTCATACATGCTTATAAAGTACTTCAATCATACTCAGCCGCCCCATCACCTCCTTTTCCCCTCCCTCCAGTTACTTTCCTAAACAGTCCTTTTTCAGTCATATATATGTAAATATATGTATGTATATATACATAAATATATATATATATAAACTTGCAGCTATATACTATTGGTTTTTTAGTAATTTTTCTGTCTCCTCCCTCAATTTCCAGACCTTAGCTATCACTTTTTTAAGCACCTCATGTACTTTCATTAGAATTCATTAGTTTATGCTATAGGACATAGATGGAAGAAAAAACACTGTACAATGCAAAAATGCCAGGATGCTGAACCCGAAGGATAAGGGATCCCACTGCAGTAGAACACACATTTTAATTCTGGCCTTCTACTATCCCTGCTTGCTGTTTATGGTGTGCCTTCCTCCAATGATCTTAGCCTTGTCATTTGCTGCTGCTTTTGTTCTCTGGGATGTAGGAAGCCAGATTATCAAAGTAGATAGAATTATATATAAAAAAAGCACCTAGGCTCTGAGAAGACTTTCATGTAGAATAAAGCTGAGGAGATTAGTGAATTGACTTGTGATGTTTAGTTACTTGAAGGTATTTTGCTTACGCTTTGGTTCTTGAACTTGGTTTAAGTGACACTTGAATAACCTAGTCCTGTAGAAACTGGGAGCTGGGAGATGTATTTTTGGTGGTGAAAACTTTAAGTGAAAGGTCATGGTCTTTCAGACAAGGCCTTTTCATGATCTTATGCTGCATTCTTATGGCATCTAGACTATCACATGATAAAATCCACAAGAAACCCATTAGAATATCTTAATTCATCTTTCATCTTTTCAGTATGAACAGTGAACTTTTGAAAACATACATACATACATACATATAGAAATGACAAGGTTGAAAAGGGAGGTATTTTAAAATTTGTTGTGGAAGTTAGTGCCAATTAAGTAATTACCCATACATTTAATAGCACGTTCAAGATGAGGGATTTTAATTATCATACAATTAAATTTTTATGGTATTCTACCATAAGGTAAGCTAAGAAATAATGGATAAAATGTTTTTCTAAGATTTATTTTTCTGTAAAGTGAGCTTTGATTCCCACAAATATTTGGGCATGTAAAGTGAAATAATTGTCACTATTTTGAAATTTGGAAATGAGACTTCACATAGCCTTTTAAGGAATGATAAAGTGCAGATTTTGATAACTAATTATTTTTTAGTGGTTCTGTGGATCGAACCCAGGGCCTTTTTGTGCATGCTAGGCAAGCAGTCTACCATTTGAGATGTGCTCCCCCTGCAGCCCTTTTGTGTATATTTTGTTTTTGAGATAGGATCTCCCAAACTATTTATTCCTGGGCTGTCCTTGAACTCTCAGTCCCTTTGTCTCAGCCACTTGAATAGCTGGGATTAAAGGCATGAATCTCCATGCTTGACTTGATTCTCAATTTTTTGTTGCTTTGAAAATAAAGTAAGATATATAGTATATGTGACAGTTTGAAATTGTGGGCTTGAGAGGATCTTTCACAGTTCTCTGTTCTTACCCATCCAGGATTACATTCAAAACATCTCATATAGATGATCTATACTTATGAGATGCTATAAGTCAAGATGGTTGTTGTCAGGGTCAAAATACATAATCTTACTTTGAATTTCCTCAAAAGAAAAAAAGTACCAAAAGTTATAAGACATTATCCATTGACTATTGGAGACACTTTTTCTTAGTTTAAGGTAGAATTCTGTTATTAATTTTTGGTGTAGATTTTCAGGAACAGGTGGAGAAAAGCCATGATGAAATTGACATGGCTGCTTTAGTTTCCTAAAGATTTGTTTTTGACCTCTGCAAAGTCTGTGTTAAAACTGAAATACTCATGGCATGGTCTTAATGGATAGATTTTTGTTCTTATTATTTTACTCCTTGATTTCTTCTAGGGAAGGACTTAGTCTACATTATGTTCTTGTATTTACAAGTCTAAACTTGTCTTTACAAAGGATAGGATTATAATGTAGCCCTACTCCACCACTCAGATAATTTCAGTCTTGTTCAGTTACTGATGATGTTAGTTTTCACTAAATTACAACTTTAAACATATCAAGGGTTCCTAGTTAATAGCTTTGATAAACCGAGCTCTATAAAATATTTCTGTATTACAGCTTAAAAGTTTTCTTTCCAGTTGAAGGAAATTAAGCCAACAGTTTATTAAATTATTTCAAATGTATATGACCAAACTACATAGATGTTTTCCTCTATGCAAACAATTTTCAAAGTGTCTTTTCAGGACCAGAAAACACAGCTTTTTCTTCAGAAAGCCTGGCTTATTTCCATCACATAAAGAACTATTTCAGAGAATTAGTAGTTACTTTTCTTGAGTTCTTCAGATTGTGGTGATAATGGTAGCCTATTTTAGAGTACTAAATCTCCTATTTCATGGTTACATATTCTCTTACATTTTAAATTAAAAAGAATAGGTGAAAAGGCCCAATGTTTTACTTCTGGTTTTTATCCTAATTAATGTCATTTCTCTGGGTTTTCAGATTTTTTTATTGGCCCTCGGGTACACAGAACTGGATTAATTATAAGCCCTTGCTTCATAACATGCTCTCATCCTTGGTCCAAGCCTGCCCCACATGGATTTATTTATTAAGTTATTTGATTACCTTTCACTTGCTGCAAGTGAGAACATTGACCAATTTAAAGACCTTGCTTTGCAATTTGCTGATATTTATTTCCTTTGAAATTCTAGAAAAACATTTCTCCGTTTCAACTCAAACTTGCTACTAAAGCTTCTAAATCTGAAAAGGAAATGGACCCAGAATATGAAGAGAAAATGGTAAATATGCTCTTGGGTAGGATAGCGAATGCTGTAGTTAAGTTTTTAAAATTTTGAGACAGGGTCTCACTAGGTAACCCTGGCTGGCCTTGAACGCACTATGTAACCTAGGCAGGCCTCAAACTTGTGATCCTCCTGCTTCACTTTCCCAAGTTTTGGGATTACAGGCTCGCACCACTATGCCTGGCTTGTAGTTAATTTCTAAAGAGGAGATGTGAAAAATGAAAAAAGGACTTGTGTATTAATAATGCATTAGAGAATCATAGATTTTAGAATTGAAAAGCAATTTAATAAATTATCACAATAAATTTTTGTTGAATAATCTCATTTTCAGATAAGGAAATTAAGGATCAGAGAAATTATGTAGAATAGATGGAAGTAGAAGACACATCTTAACTTTTTCTCAGTGCTCTTCACCCCATCATAAGGTGCTTTATGATGAAATACTTTATTCACTGAGTAATGAAAATATCAGTGGCAATATCAGTTGGCTTTGTGTCCTGAAAAAGATCTGGTCACAAAGCCAGATTTATATTTTTCTCCTTCCTTTGGATATATGAATGAATGCTACATGTCAAAGAAATATGGAATGTTAATATGCTTTTTGAGACATATTTGATTATATTTTTCCAATGCATGAACATACTATGAACTTAGTTATACCCATATATTGTTTTGTTATTCATTTAATCATTTTGTTTTTGGTTTCTAAGAAGTCAGCAGTTGGTTGAAACTGATTTTTTTCCCTAAGGTATTGTTTTTGCAGTAATGTTATAAAAATAAGTAGAGATGAAGTACATTACTTGTATGTTGATAGCTATTTTACAAGACTGTATACCTTAATGTTTAAGGCCACATCGAATGAGACAGTTAATGTTTTAACAACTCTAAAAACAACATTCCAGTGAGGATAACATAAAATGGAAAGTTTCTGGCCTTTTTCCAGATAGTGGTCTGAATGTATTTGTCTTAACTCTTGTGTTTATGTTAATGAACACTTCTGTAAGTTTCTGTAATCTTTCATTAGTAATCTAGTGTTCTCTACCCTGTGGTCAGAAAGTGACTTTGAATAAAAAAAATTGTCATTTTTTTTCCTTTGTGTAGAGTGATGTATGTATCTTTTGATCTTCTAAGGTTTTATAGTGAATTGAAGTTTTATTGTATTTATGTGATGTAGTTTATATGATTGTTCACAATTGTAGAAATTAGAATACATACCAGCTTTTAATGACTAACATAGATTAACTACTTTACATGTATGTGTGTATGTATAGTTTCTCTAACTCCTGCTCCCTTTGGGGAAAAACTTTTATATGCTGTTAGCAAAAAATAGTTTTCCAGATCATTGGAATCGAAGTGATGAATGTTTATTACATTATTGTATCATGACATTGAAAATATTTTGAGACAAGATGATACTGTATTCTTAGAGTTCAGTCATGTCGAGATGAAAACTCTTAAGAGATCGGTTTATAGTACGTATATATCATAGTTAATAATTTGTATTTCTATATTTGAGATGTGTATTCGATGTTCAATATTCTTACTATTGAAGAAAAGAAAATCATGTTTTGGAAAGAGAATCAGTTTTCTGATTTTGATTCTGTAAGAAGGTTACTCTTTTTTGGGGAGTGGGTACTCGGGATGGAACCCAGGGGCTTAGCATGTGCTCTACCACTGAGTTACACCCTCAATTCCAAAAAGGGTACATCTTCTTTCTTTTCTTGTCTTTTTTTTTTTTTTTTTGTGGTACTGGGTTTGGATTTGGGGCCCCATGCTTGCTAGGCAAGCACTTTACCACTTGAGCCCTTTTTGTTTTAGTTATTTTTTAAGCAGGGTTTCGCTTTTGCCTGGGGCTGGCTGCGACAGTGATCTTCCTACATATGGCCTCCCATGTAGCTGGGACTACAGGCATGTGCCACCTTGTCTGGCTTATTGACTGAAATGGTGTATTCCTAACTTTTTGCCAGGGCTGGCCTTGAACCGCGATCCTTCTATAATCTCTGCCTCCCGAGTAGCGGGGATTACAAGTGTGAGCCACTGTGTCATGCTCCAGAAGAGTACTTCTTTTGGGGGGCATTTACTGAGTCTGTCAGATTTGGCTTCTAATCAAAGTGTTTGAAAATACCATTTTCTAATTTTGCTATTTACTAGATGTGGAAGCTTGGGCAAGTTCCTTATCCTCTCCGTGCCTTATTTTTTATCATCTGTAAAATGGGTATAATACTAGTAACTACCTCATAGGTTTCTTCCGGGAATTAAATGGGTTAGTGTGTTTGAAGCACTTAAGACATTACACAAAGTAAGCGTAATATAAGAACTTGTAAAGTGTCTTTGAATGAACAGAAAAACAAAACCTCCTTTTTCTTTTGTTTTGTAAATTAGAAAGCAGACCGAGCAAAGAGGTTTGAATTTTTACTGAAGCAGACAGAACTTTTTGCACATTTTATTCAACCTTCAGCACAGAAATCTCCAACATCTCCTCTGAACATGAAACTGGGACGCCCTCGAATAAAGAAAGATGAAAAGCAGAGCTTAATTTCTGCTGGAGAGTATGTTGGCATCCTTCAACCTTTTTTCCTCCTTTCTCTTTCCCTATTTTCTTTCTTTTCTTCCTCCCTCTCCTTCTGTCCTTATTTATTTGGCATAACTTTATATGAAAAACTTAAGGTTATTGCTGATATAAATATGTTTTGGAGGCAACAATGTTTTTTATTCTCAACAGAAATCAATCAGTAAAACCGTAGGTTGATTCCACCAAATTCTAGGCAATATACTAAATAACTTGTACTTTTTCCATAAAAGATATTTAACAGAGAACACTGACTTAATTGACACTTTAGCATCAATGTGAATATGAAGGTCTTTCTTTTTTCAATTCAGCTATCGCCACAGGCGCACGGAACAAGAAGAAGATGAAGAGTTGCTGTCAGAGAGTCGGAAAACCTCGAATGTGTGCATTAGATTTGAGGTGTCGCCATCATGTAAGTACTTCATTGCGTTGGTGTTCAAAAAACTTTCCTTGAGTATATTAATGAAAGTGTGAGACATCCTTGATTTTTTTCAGATGTGAAAGGAGGACCCCTGAGAGATTATCAGATTCGAGGACTGAACTGGTTGATCTCTTTGTATGAAAATGGAGTCAATGGTATACTGGCTGATGAAATGGTAAGAAACTGGCAGCTAGAATACATTCTCCGTTGTGAGTACTTTTTTTTTTTGGCTGTACTGGGATTTGAACTCAGGCTTTTCTGCTTGCTAGACTAGTGCTGTACCACTTGAGCCACACCCTCAGTCCTTTTTGCTTCGGTTATTTTTTTTGTGTGTGTGGTATTGGGGTTTGAACTCAGGGCCTACCCCTTGAGCCACTCCACCAGCCCTTTTTTTGTGATGGGTTTTTCGAGATAGGTTCTCACGAACTATTTGCCCAGGCTGGCTTTGAACCGTGATCCTCCTCATCTCTGCCTCCTGGGTAGCTAGGATTATAGGCGTGAGCCACTGATGCCTGGCTAGGTTATTTTTTGAGATTCGGTCTTGCTTTTATGACTGGGTCACTAGGATCTTGATCCTCCTATTTTGTGCTTCTCTGCATAGCTTGGGATGACAGACTTGCATCTTTATGAGATGGGGTCTCATAAACTTTTTTGACTGGGCTAGCCTCAAACCTCTATCCTCCTGATCTCTGCTTCTTTAATAGCTAGGATTACAGGCTGGAGCCACTGTGCCTGGCCTTAGACATTAGTACTTTTTAAACATAAGTTTGAAAGAGATGAATTGACCTACCCCCAGTCCCTATGCCTGGAAGCTTTTAGTTATTATAATGCAGAATGATTTTGTAGTCTACAGTTATTCAACCTCTAGAACATAGACTTTCTCAGGCCACAAAGTTCTTACGAGATTTCCTCAAATGACACCAACAAAACTTTCCTGTACTTTTGCTTTTGTTTGCACTTTGGTTTCCAGGATGCTCAGAGTCAGGTTGAATGTCTGAATGGAGCATCTGTGTTCCCTTTAATGGTCTGCCTTTTGTGTCCTTTGTGTCTTTTCCTAGTCTTTCCTTCTAGGCTTATTTTCCCTGGTGCCTTTTTATTTCTATTTTATCATTAATTTATGTTCCGTGTTTTCACTGTGGGCCTCCTGACATCCTTTTGGGAATGAGATAAAGTATATAAACCAAAAAAATGAATGAATGAATGAAGTCATGTGTGAATGAAACAAAATAAATCTCCAGATTTGTGAGTAGATAGAATGAGGAATCAGTAAAGTGCAATGATGAGTCTTAGTACAATAGAGTACAAAGTGGCAGACTTAGGCATAAATAAGCTAATGAAGCCAGGCGCTGGTGGCTCACGCCTGTAATTCTAACTACTTGGGAGGCTGAGATTGGAAGGATTGCGCTTTGAGGCTAGCCCAGGTGCATAGTTCGAGAGACCCCCATCTCCAAAATAACCAGAGCAAAAATGGACTGGAGATGTGGCTCAAGTAGAGCGTCTGCATGTCAAGCCTGAAGTCCTGAGTTTAAACCCCAGTCCCGTCCCCCACCCTGCAAAAGAAATAAACTAACAAATCATGAACATGTAAGTAAAAGAACCCAAAAAAGTAAGGCTGTGCAAGATGTGAATTCAGCAGATGAGGGCAGTATATGAAGGCTTAGATTTGTATTTTAGGTTCAAATTAATAAAACAGAATTTAAGAGAAGGCGGAGCAAGTTCAAGATCTATTTAACTTAGCAATAGGATATTTATGAAATTCTGGAGCCGTATTTGCAGAAGAGCCATCATTGGCTGAGCAGATGTGAAACGTGTGGCAGAGAATCCTTTACAAGGGTCACCAAGTCCTTATATTTACTTACATATTCTGGTTTGGGACCTATACTAGCTCAAAGGGGGAGGGGCTTGGTTAATTTGTCAAAAGAATGAAGGACCAGGATTGTTTGTCCCAAGCACTTCCTGGCTGCAGGCTGCTGAAACCAGATATGTTTTAATTATTAAAATAGAGAAAAAATTAAGATTAATTATAATTCTGCCATCTAAAAATAACATGGAGTTAGCATTTGGGAATATTTCTTTTTAGTCTTTTTCTTCTGGATGTATTTGTTTTGTATAGTTGAGATCATTATATATGTGTGTGTGTATATATATGTACACACACATATATACATATACATATATAATTTGTTATTCTGATGTTTTTCACATTTGTATGTATTTTCCAGGTAATTAAAACATTTTGTGAAAATAATTTATTGCATAATAATGCTAGAGAGGTACCATATTTTTATTCCATTCACTTATCCCTGCCCATTTGGATTGCTTGATGTGTAGTAGAAATAATGCTATTATGAAATCGGATAATTTAGTTTTTCTGTACCTCTCAGATTATTTCCATAGGATTCTTGGAAGTGGAATTCCTTTGTTAAAGCTTTTAAGGTTTTGGTGACCAGCATCCATAAAACCTGTCTAATGAAGTGACATCACTATTATCTACAAGGGTTTTATCGCTATGAGATAAAACCTATAAACATAACTTTAGGCTTGGATTTGTAAGGGAAGTACATGCTTTTTCTTAGAGATAAAGGCAAAAGCTGTTTTATTACTTACTCATTTAGTTTGATTTGTGGTGCTGGGGTTGGAATCCAGGGTCTCACACACAATGCTGTACCAGTGAGCTGCAACCTGCAATCAACTTGGAGAACTGAAGGCCAAACAGCAAAGGGCATAGTTTCCTTTCTTATGGGTTAGGTTGCAGGTTTATGTGTGTTTGATGTATTATTTTTTAAAAAGTCCACTGCACTAGGTGATCTTTAAGGTCCTTTCTCACTGCAAAGCTCTGTTCTTTTGTGGTTCCTCAGGTCTTAAGAGTGTGAGGTGCAAGTAGAGAGCCACAAGCCTCTTGAGATGCATGGTCTGACTATTTAATGCCTGGGCTTTAATAATACTGGGGACAATAGGGACGAAAGGCAGTGTCTCAGCAGGCTGGTAAAGGAAATTGATGTTTGTGAAACACACACACACACACACACACACACACACACTCCCTAGTTTTTTTAACTACTAGAAAAATTATGTATCAATTTGCTTGCTCCTTTAGGAGTAAAAATGTCCTAAATAGAAAGTTGCTTTATTGGGCAACATTTTGAGTGCAGTTTTGTCTTCATAGTAAGCACTAAGTTGAAATGCTTTCCTTTTTGCTTTAAGAAAGGCCTTCTTAGGGTGGGAAGAGCGGGAATAAGAAATAATAGGGGAGGCAGATATGATCAAAGTATATTATATGCATGTATAGAAATGACAATGAAACCCCTCACATTGTACAATTAATATGCAGTAATAAATAAAAAGGCCTTTTTACTTTTCATTGGTAGAAACATAATTTCCAATGTGAGGGAGTTTGGCAAGTGTCTCATGATGTAACTAACAAAGTACATTGATGGATTTTTTTTCCTTTGTGATGAAAATGCAGGGTCTTGGTAAGACTTTACAAACAATTGCTTTGCTTGGCTACCTGAAGCACTACCGAAACATTCCTGGACCACACATGGTTTTAGTTCCAAAGTCTACATTACACAACTGGATGAATGAATTTAAACGATGGGTTCCATCTCTCCGTGTTATTTGTTTCGTTGGAGACAAAGATGTGAGAGTAAGTGAGAAACAGGTTTAAAAGTCACTCAAAAATAACATCATTTCTGAACTTCTTTAATTACATACTATTGCTTTTAAAGACACTTAAGGCAATTACTACTAATAAGTAACGCTTAAGTTGAACTTACTGTAAGTTAGCCTTTGTTGTAAATAATTTCCATATATTCATTTTATTAACACAACATCCTGTGAGGCAGATGCATTACCTATTAATAACAGACAATCCATTACTATGCTTTTTTTTTTCCATGAGGGGATGTTCCTTGTACAGGGGGGATTCATTGTGACAATTCCGAATAGCCTTACATTGTACATTGGTTAGATTGCCCCCATCATCCCCTCCAAACTCCTCCCCGCCTCACTTAAATCACTTGCAAGAGATTTCATTGTTTTGTTGCATGTATGTATATGAAGCCCATCAACCATATTCCCTCACCTTCATCTCCTCCATTCACCCTCCCCCCCTTCTATAAGTATCCCCACCACACTGAAACTAGTTTACAGTTCAAAGGGGTTTCCTGAAGTATCCCCTCGTGAGTATACTTTACTTTGGTCAGTTCAGCCACTTCCATTACTCTCTCTTACCCCTATCTTCCCACTTCCCATTATTCAACAGCTTTCAATACACATCTTTATATTCTCTCTCTTTCTCTCTCTCTTCACACACATACACACACACACACACACACACACACACACACACACACACGTATACCACATTTTAAAAATCCTGAATGACTTAAATTGTTTCTTTTAAAAGTTCTGACTTCTTGTTTTAGTACTTGGGTTTTATCTCAGTTCCTTGTGCTTGCTAGGCAAGTGCTTTACCACCTGAGCCATGCCCCCCTCCTTTTTGTTTTACTTAGTTGTTTTTCCAATAGGGTCATGTGTTTTTGCCTGAGGCCAGCCTCAGACCATAATCCACCTACCTATGCTTTTTGCATAGCTGGGACCATAGTTATGTGCCAGCATGCCTGGCTTGTGTGTTGAGATGCAGTCTTGCTAACTTTTTCTTGGGCTGGACTCAAACTGTGATCCTCCCTATCTTTTCCTCTTGAATAGCTAAGATTACAGGCAAGAGGTACTGAACCTGGCCATAAGTTTTGACTTTTAACTTAGTACACACACTCACATGTACACATACAGAAATGGAACTTCTTCTATGTGTACAAAGGGCCTTATATTTTGTGTTTATGCAAGACTCATGTATGTCTATATGTTGTCAAATAATATCAGAAGCTTTTTTTTGGGGGGGTGAGCATTTAAATTAGCCATTTGTCAATCTAGTAGGTTACAATTATTTTATGACTGTAGAATTAATGTAAAAGTAGTAAATTATGCAAAAACACAAAATGAATAATTTACTTAAAAAGGATACTATTAAATTTTGTCTTGATTTTGCCTCCAGAGAACATAGTCAAGCTTTATTCTATTTTACATATTTAGATTATCAAGAGACTCTCAAAAGAATGGTAGCTTAATGAGTTATGTAATTTCATCCTCTTCATTTTTTTGAAAAAATTCCTTAAATTTATTTAAAGTTAACACAAATAATTTAAATATTGAAATACCAAATTTGCATATTTAGAATTACAGGTTTGATTCTTTCCTATGCTTAATATCTCCCCATAGAAAATTAGTCACTTAGAACCCTTTTTTTGTTACTGCTGTTATTTAATATAATTCCACTGCTTATAAAGTTTTGAATTTGTAAAATACTGATCTTTTGCTAAAATGATTTCTTGAAGATCATAAGCAAAAGAGAAATATCTAGACTTGTGTCTTCATATTGCCTCAGTAAAAATGCATATCAGTGCCTTTTAACTATGTTATATGTAATTTATGGGTTTCGTGAAGTACATCTGTGGGGTTTAAAAAGAGTAGATATATTTAATATGTGATTGCCTTATGTCTGCTCCACAGGAGTCTGGGATTCTGGTGGTTTGAGAAATTGCTTGATCTTGAAAATCTTATCTTTGAAGTCAGTGTTTTTCAAATTGTGAGTTGCCACTCATGAATGGGTTGTGCATCCAACTTACTGGGTGGTGACAACAATTTTCTAAAACACTGAGAGAGAATAGAGTATCAAATAAGCAGAGTTTCATACCATGGTAAGCAGAAGCATTGTTTTGAGAAATTTTTAAGTTTCCTCTTTCTATGTACACTACACACTCAAACATACATGTGTGTACTGGATTGCATTTAAAATGCAATTTTCTTGTGGGCCATGTTCAAAAGAGCTTCAGAAACAGTAATTATTAATCACTTAAGTGATTGATGTGCCATACTTAGCACTTGAAGATTGATGTTGATGTATACAACATCCAGGTCAATATTTGCAGACAGACTTGAACCTTGATACCACATGGGGTAGCTATATTGAACCTTTTTATTTTTTTGACCTTCTGTAAACACCTATGAGGTCAGTGTTTTAGGAAGTAGAATTTTGATGTTGGCTATAATTGGTATTTGATTGAGTGGAGAAGGTATTAGAAATATTCTTGATCCTGTCTGATATTATAGTCCTGAAGTACATAGAGGTATCCAAAGATAGTGGACATGGAAACACATCTGGTTTGAATTCTGGCTTTTCTACTGATTACATGATGGTGAGTGAGTCTCAAATAACTTGAACTTTATTACATATAAAAGGAGAGCTTTGGGCTAGTTTGACCTTTAACATTTTATCAAGATATCTAACTAATAGTTGCAAAAATGTCAAAGCAGAGCTAATTTAAATCAAAAAACAAAAATGTATTCCATGAAATGTGTAAGAGGTACCATCAAACTGAGTTTTTCAGAAAATCAAAGAAGGATAAGGTAGCTGTGAGCCTTAATTTCCCCATATCTAAAATGGATGGCACTAAATGGTCCTCAGAGTCTTTTGTAACTCTTAGTATTTTCCTGACACTTTAAATCTGTGGTCATCTTCTCAGCATTCTCTAATATAACAAACTTTATTTTGTATTAGGCTGCTTTTATTCGTGATGAGATGATGCCAGGAGAGTGGGATGTTTGTGTTACTTCTTATGAGATGGTAATTAAAGAGAAATCTGTATTCAAAAAGTTTCATTGGCGATACCTAGTCATTGATGAAGCTCACAGAATAAAAAATGAAAAATCTAAGGTAAGTTCTCAATATCTTTATTCAAGTTTTTATTTAATCGCCAGCTCTGTTTGTTCACTTCTCTGTATTCACAATAAAAAATATAATGAAAGATCATGGTTTTATTCATGAAATCAGTTTATAATAGAGGACAAATGAAAGTGAACACACATTTTAATGTAAAGAAATTTGGGTGTTCATTTGCTACCCCTCCTGTTGCAGGTTAACTATGATGCTACATTATTTTAATATTGTTGAGAATATTTGGTGTACAAATATCATTTGCATTGACTTATTTTTTATTGAGGAGCTACCTTATGTGTATTCATATGGATTACAAAAAAGAATTTCCTGGAACTATCTGACTTGCGAATTAGAGTGTGGTGTTAACATTGAAAAACCCCCAATATTTCCTGCCATTGAACTCCATCAACAGTGGGAAAAGCTTCAGTTATTATGATGAACCTCTCTTTGGATCACTGGGCTACTATGGGAGAAACAGGGACAGAACTGGAGCAAAACCACCAGGTGGAGCATGCTAATTTCATAAGAGGATGCACGTTACAGAACATTTATTTAAGAGCATTTTATTAAAATGTGCATATTTGCTAAGATTACTATTCTTTTATACTTCAGTGCCTTAATTTTTATGGTGTTAAATTTAGGAAGCTAATATAAGGTATCAGGGAACATGGGCTCAATTCTGGTGCTGAAAAGTTATGAGCAGGCCATGTTAAAACTTGGCTAGATACATAGATGAATGTGGTTGGTGGTGAGAAGGGTTTTGTTGTGTAAAGTGATAGCCTGGATACCATGGGAGAAGTTCTGTTTTCTGGGAACCAAAATGGAGAAATTAAAATTTTCAAAGTATGGAAGGGGTGTCAGTTATAAATGTGACCTGCATTCTTTCAGGTGTAGAAATGCCTAAAATATTTTGTTCAATTGTGCCTCCCTGCAGCAGTGTCAACTGAACTGGGATATTTCCCATAGAAAGTTAATTTTCAATTATTCTATTTCAATTATTTCTACTTCCCATAGAAAGTACTATTTTATTAAGAATGTATTGGTTGGATAAAGTATGACTGGATGTTGATCATCTCAATAATGAGCTGTGTAACTATTATGTTTTTCTAGCTTTCAGAGATTGTTCGTGAGTTCAAGTCCACAAACCGCTTACTTCTAACTGGAACACCTCTGCAGAATAATCTGCATGAACTCTGGGCATTGCTTAACTTTTTATTGCCTGATGTCTTTAATTCTGCAGATGTAAGTTTAAGTCATAATTTTTTTGTGGGATGACAGTAGGGATTGAATTGAGGGTGCTTAGCATGCATTCTACTACTGAGCAACGCCTCCTGCCCCAAGCCACGCATTTTATGTATATTTTCTGATGTATACCGGCATCTCTTTTCAAAGCATAGAATATAGGTTAAAACTTAGAATTTTTCCTTTGTAATTCTTAATCTGTGTGTTTTGGTTTTCTCAGAAAGAGCCCTTACACACAAAATTTTAAAATGGGGATATTTAGGGAAATAAATACTGTGCTTCTCTTCTTTGAGATTAACCTGTCAAACTTTGGCTTTATTACATTTCTACTATAACTTATGATATGAGATAGGCGAGTTCAGAATAATGCATTCAACACTTTCTTTTCATTAAATTGGAGGGACTTAAAACATTTCTGTGTACTAGTGTTGCAAGTGTGGACTTTAAGGTGATCTTTACTGTAGGCATTGGCATTTGGTGAGTACTACAAAGTTTATAGTGTGTGATTTCAAAAACAACACATTTGATAAATGTGTCATTATTTTTATCATTTAATACAAAGTTATGCTAGGGCAACAAATTGAATTGAATGGTTTATGAACTTTGGGGCTTGATTTTATGTTCTTATTCTTCTTATTCTTCTTAATTGAATGCAATGTTGCCGTGGTATGGGGAAATCTATTTTTTGGGGGGGGCTGGGTTTGAACTCAGGGCTTTGTCTACCGCCTGAGCCACACCTCCAGTCCATTTTGCTTTGGTTATTTTGGAGATGGGATCTTGTGAACTAGTTGCCTGAGCTGGCCTTGGATTTTGATCCTCCCAAGTAGCTAGGATTACAGGTGTGAGCCACAAGTGTCTGGTGAAGCCTAATTTTTTTTAAGGAGAAAAATGTAGATAGAATTCTTTTATAATGGGATTCAAAATTTTTGTTTGATGGTATGGGGATTTAAACTCAGGGCCTCACACTTGCTAGGCAGGCAGTCTACCACTTGAGCCACTCTGCCAGCAGTTTTTTGTGTTGAGTATTTTCCTTTTTTTTTTTTTAAATCTCCATGTATAGCTATCCTTACCTCAACTAGCAAAAATGCTTTGTCTTTCTTACTATTGTTTATACTCTCTCTTCAACAAAATTAGAGATAAGGGCAGAACAGATTCTGCCTGAAAGCAAGGGGGGGTGGGGGGGGTGAGGGAGAGGGCGGGAGGTATGGGGGGAGAAATGGCCCAAACAATGTATCCACATATGAATAAACGAGAAAAAAAAAGATTTTAGTTTATTTTTAAACTGATAGTTGTATAGGGGGATACATTGTGATATTTACATATGTGCTTACAATATTTCTTTGTTAGATTTACCCCCTCTATCATTCTCCCTCTTCCCCTCTCCCCTGTTTTAGAACAATTTCAACAGGTGTCTTTCTTCTATTTTCATAATATGGATACAAAATATATCCACTACATTCACCCCCATTCCCCCTTTCCTTGTGCCCTCCTACCTCTTTCTAGTACCCATCCCTGGAAAAGACCTACTTTTCTTTCCTGCCCTTCATTTTTTAAAGTGTATATTGATAGTTCAGGGGTTTTGACCTTGGTATTTTAGGCCTGTATATATTGTGCTTTAATCAAATTAACTCTCTCCCCCTCTGTTACTTACTGTTGAGTATTTCTGAGATGGGTTCCCGCAAACTATTTGCCTGGGATAGCTTCAAACTGTGATCCTCCTAATCTCTGTCTCCTGAGTAGTTAGGATTACAGGTGTGAGCCACCAGTGCCTGGTGGGATTCAAATTTTGGTAGCTGTTCCCGTATTTTACCTATTACAGAAGTAGATAAAACTGGTCATTCATAGTACATTTTTTTATGGTACTGGGGATTTAACCCAGGGCCTCACACATGCTAGACAAGTGTTCTACGGCTCAGCTACATCCCCAGCCATATATATTTTTTGTCTTTTTTTTCCTTTATTGTTGTGCGGGGGGGGGGGGAGTACATTGTGACATTTATGAAAGTTCTTACAATGTATCAAATATATCATACTTGAATTCACCTCCTCCGTCATTCTCCTTTATCTCCCCCTTCCCATTCCTGGAATGGTTTCAACAGGAATCATTTTTGCATTTACATACATGTGTGTACATTTTTTATACCATATTCACCCTCCTAGCCTCTTTCCCTGCTACCTCTCCCCTCCTACTGGTACCAGTAGTACCCTGGGTAGAACCTGTTCTGCCCTCCTGTTCTCTGATTTTGTTGAAGAAAAAAGAAAAAAAGAAAGAAATGAAATTTTTTGTTTGGTTAAAGGTAGCTACACAGGGAGTGTCTATGTATATATGTTATGATATTTCCATGTATATCTATTTTATAACCCGAATTGGTTTATCTCCTCTAATTTTTTTCATTCTACCCTAGTGCCTTTTTAATGGTGATTTCAGCTGGTTTAGGATTTCCATATTCATTCTTGTATAGAGAGTGTATCAACCATATTCAAGTCCTTAGTTTCCTTCTTTTACCCTGCCCCTCATATATGTGACCTCTCCTTAGTGTGACCACTGTTTCATAATATTGCTGTGTTTATATTAGGTCTGTATTCCACATATAACAGAGAACATGCATCCAGCCCCATATTTTTGAAAGTATTTTGAAAATGGATTATTTCTATATTAGCTGCATAAGAATTGCTAGAATATTGAGTTTATTTTGTCAAAACCTCTGTACTTATTGTAGAATTTTCACTCCTCCACAGGACTTTGATTCTTGGTTTGACACTAAAAATTGCCTTGGTGACCAAAAACTTGTGGAAAGACTTCATACAGTAAGTAATAGCAGAAAAGAAAATTTAATTATGAAATATGTACATAACTGAACCAGAAAACAATCTGTTTGAACTTGTGGGTTTACCTCTTGCCTCAGTCTTACTGCTCCCTCCATAGCCTTTCTGACCAACCTCTCAGTCAGCCAACTCTGCCATATTCTCAGCCTCTCTGTAGAATAGCTTTCTTCCCTTGGTCTTGCCCATCATATTGTGGTCCTCTTTAGTAGAGGCTGGTACTCTCCACAGCCCACAGGTTCTATGGATGGCATTAGTATTCTTGATCCTGAAGGTTCCATCCTCTACCCATTCTCTTCTTTATCGTCTATTTATCCCCAGCGACACCTTCACATTCATTGAACACTCTTCCATTTTTTGAAAATAACTTCTTACGTCCTTCTAGGTCTTTTCACTCATGTTACTTCTTCTGAATTTGTTCTGTTACCTTACAGAGCTCTCCATTCTCCAGACCCTTGATTTATCTACCAATAAGCCAGTTTTCCTTCATTTGAACCACTGTTTGGTCAGTACTACATACTCCTTTACTTCTTTGTTCTCCTACCATTCTTGCCCTGGAATAATGTAACTGCACCTGTCTTCTGGGTTTAATTCTGCTGATACCCCTTATTAGCAAAGTGATTTTCCTTGTAGTGGGCCTGCTCAATACTGGAAAGGAAAATTTTTCAACTCTACAGGTTAGAACTACTTTTATTTCATATTATTTAACATAAGCTGGATTATCATGATACTGGTGTTCCTTCAACATGGCCTTCTACAGCCTTCTTTCCCATTTCGTATAATACCTATTTCAGACCTTCATCAGTCTCCTTGAGACTTCTGTCCCTGGTATCTCCTGCCCTCCACCTCTCTCAGTAGGTAACATCACATCATTCTCTTCTCAAAGAGAAAATAGAAGCCATTAGGTAGGAACTCCTGCAAACAAGGATGTCTGTATGTGTGTTAACCTTCTGTCTGAGTAGAAAAGTTATCCTTTCTCTGGTCATTGGCTAATTCTTCCATGTGAATACTGAATCTTATCACTTCCTGTTTCTTTAAGGACTTTTGTCCATGATTTTTTTGTGGTACTAGGGATTCAACTCAGGGCCTCATGGCTTGCTAGGCAAGCACTCTACACCTGAACTATGCCACCAGTTCTACCTTCCCTTCTTTTTTTGGTGATACTGTGGTTTGAACTCAGGGCCTTGTGCTTAGTTGGTAGCCACTGAGCCACTTGAGCCACATCCTCAGCCCTTTTGCGGTTTTTCAAATATGGTCTTGCATTTATGTCCAGGTGTTCCTGGTCCATAATCTTCCTACTTATACTTCCCACATAGCTGGGATGATAGGGGTGCACTGCCACACCCTGCTTTTATTGGTTGAGATAGGGTTTTGTGAACTTTCTGCCAGGTCCGGCCTCAAACTGCCATCCTCCTGATCTCCACCTCCCAAGTAGCTAGGATTACAGGCATGAGCCACAGCACCTGGTCTATCCTTTTAATTCACTATTTTTTTTACCTTTCCCACCATATTGATTCTTTTGTCTCAACACACAAACATGCTCAGGTATCTATCTTATTAAATTCAAGCCTAGTGTTACCAAGCTATGTCCATTTTGCTTGCTGCACAGTATGGCAGTCACTGAAGCAATGAGTTTTGCAGAAAGGAGAGTTATTCACAAGGCAGCCAAGCATGGAGGTGGGAGACTCCAGCCTCAAATCCGCCTCCTTTAAGAACAGGCTTAAACAAGCAGGATGACTTGAGGTGTGTGGAAAAGTGATGGGAGGTGAAGTAATCAGTGGTTTGTACATGCATGATCAATTTTTGTGACTCTTCATGGGACACATGTTCAGAAAAATGGTGACATTAGCATTATCTGAGGGCAGAGTTTTTGACCTTTGAGGAGGCTCAAGTGAAGAGCATGTGGTTTTGACAAAAACGGACATCAAGTTCCTGAAAAGTAATCTAGGTAATCATTATTATGAGAGGTCAGAGGTATTATCTATAGCAAAGCTAGTGAGAGACTAATATAGCTTAGCCGTGTGACCTCCAGAATTTTTAAAGTCAGTAAGAGCAAGTACCTAATGAGGACCACAGGGACTTAGAGTCAGAGAAGTAAAAAGTACAAGGGTTGGTTAGTATATGTGAGACGAGGCTAGCTGTGTCTGTTGGCTGATAATTATCAAAGTTATGATTCTGTCCTTCTATGGAATCTTGTGGACTGAGGTCTTGTTCTTTTAATGATTCTGTTCCTGAGAATGACTCTTAGGTCCTTAAGAGATGCTCTAAGCTGCCAAAGATACATATTTACAATTTTAACCAGCCCCGTTTTAGTAAATGTCCTGCCAGTGTGCTGTGGCCCATTCAAGGGTCCAGTTTTTCCAGTCCACCCCTACACACATAAACATAACACTTCTACCTCAACATTGTGCCTCTAATTTTGATTATGTTTTCTTCCTTTGACAGCCAAGCTTCTTGAAAGAGTAGCTTACCTCTCCATCTCTACTACCTCCCTAACCTGCTGTTCATTCTCGAATCCATTGACCACTGGCTTTTATCCATTCCATGCAAATGAAATGGTCTTCAATAACTTTCTAGTTGCTGAATTCAGGGTAGTTTTTAATATGTTTTATGCCATCAAATCATGAATGCCTAAGTTACACCTCCTATTTTGTGGGGTGATTGAATTGAGCCTAGGGTCTCATGAATACTAAGCACATGTTCTTCCACTGATCTATAATCCTATACCCCCATTTTGATTTTTGAGGTGGTTATTTACTGAGAAACTTGGTAACTGATGTTGGTCAGATTATGCAGTACAAAGTAAATTTTACATTTGGGTATTGTTAATGAAATGCACAGTTTGAACATTAAATGTTTTATACGCTTTTATAAAAACTATCACTTTTTAGGTTTTAAAACCCTTTTTGTTACGTCGTATAAAAACTGATGTAGAAAAGAGCCTGCCTCCTAAGAAGGAAATAAAGATTTATTTGGGACTGAGTAAGATGCAACGAGAATGGTGAGCTATTTTATTTCTATTAGCAATTATTGGTATAAACTAGCTTACTAAAAGTTAACTTTGTACTTGTATCATTATATCTTTGGTTCAAAAATTACATTTTATGTAATATTTTATTAGAGAACTGATAAGTATTTAACTTCTGGAAAAGAGTAGAAGTTTTGGACTCTAGATCTGTGTTTGAATTCCATGCATTGCCTTTTCATAGCTATTTTATTGGGCAAGTTACATAACCTTATTTTCCTTTCTGTCAAATACTCATACTTACCTCATGAGGATGATGTTAGAATTAAAGGGGATAATGTCATTGATACACTTGTTAGTTACTCTTCCCTTTTCCATCAGTGAAAATAGTAATAAGCATAATAATAATGACAAAGATGAAAACTCCAGTGATTGTGGATGTTACAAAAATAGAAGCTTGAATGGTTTGATAAATATAAGCAAAGCAAGAATTGACAAGAGAAGTCACAAGGAAACATGAGTAGAACTTGCTAATATAATCTGCTAAAAGAAGCAAAATGTTGCTTGTATAAATAAAATTGGATCATATATAAAATATATAATGATTTCTCTGTAGAATAGAGGTTAAGAGTACATTCCGTGAACTCAGACATAAGACCAAACTTTGCTTTTGCTCTTTGCTATGGCCCTGAGTAAGTTGTTTAACTTCTCTTACCTGCCTGAATTTTCATCTGTAAAGTGAGGATGTTGTTGTGAAGATTGAGTGGGGTGATTCTTGCAAAGCCCTTGAAGTAATACTTGGTACACTCAGTACAAGTCAGTTATTATTATAATTAAATACTATTTTTGATTAGGTGTATTACATAGGTCTTTTTTTGCCTGAGTGAAATTCTAGCAAAGGTAATGAAAAATGTTTATAGGATCAGAAAAAAATGACCTGTGAAGATAGGTGTAACAAATTGAGATTGCTTTTAGCTCAAACATGTTTTTAGCTCAAACAAGTAAAAGTTGGATGCCAACTCTCAGTGAATATTGTAGTTATTGGATAGTTATCAGATATAATTCTCTGAATAATTATCAGCTGATGACAGTTTCTAATAATGGATAAAGCAGGAGGAAACAGGCCTGTAAGCAGTTTGCAAATTAAAATGTTCAAACCTTTATTAGCTTCTTGGTTTTGCTGATCAGATTTAATTTCAAATCAAATCTTTTTTTTTAAATTGGTGCTGAGGATCAAACCTGGAGTTTTGTGCTTGCTATGCATATGCTCTACCACTGAGCTATATTTCTAGCTCTCAAATCAAATCTTCATGCTCATCTTGTTTGTTCCTGTGTAGGAATCTAATGTGATTGGCAAATGAACATTTCTTTATGGCAATAATTGATGATTAATTATAGTTTAAATTTGTAGGTATACAAAAATCCTGATGAAAGATATCGATGTTTTAAACTCTGCTGGCAAGATGGACAAGATGCGACTCTTAAACATTCTGATGCAGCTTCGAAAGTGTTGCAATCATCCCTACCTGTTTGATGGTGCTGAGCCTGGTCCACCTTACACCACAGATGAGCATATTGTTAGCAACAGTGGTAAAATGGTAGTTCTGGATAAACTGTTGGCCAGACTCAAAGAACAGGGTGAGGAATGAAATTTTAAATTAGCGTGGAAATAAATTCATAATAATGATTTGTATCTGAATAAAATTTTCTATCTTCATTCATCCACTCATCCATACACAATGATGTGTTAGCAGACACCATTGAGTATTTACTGTTGGCCAGGAATTGTCCTATAGGTGGGGTGTACAAAGTTAACGGTTTCATTTTGGAGAAACTCACAGGGTAGTGAGGAGGAATAGTTGAAATTCATTGTGATAAGTGCTATGTTAGGTTGAGAAACTGGGAGTTGGGAAGGGCTTCACAGAGATGTTTGAGATGAGTGCTAGAGAATGTGTAGGAGTGGGCCATTGGAAAAAGGAGGGGAAATGTTTTCTAGAGCAATGAAACTGAAGTGTGAAAGAAGGGAACGGGGCAGGGGAGTTTATGTGATGGAGTGGGAGTTGGTGAATCTGGTAACATGATGGGACCAAATTATGGGAGGTCTTCTAAGTCATATTTTGAGGAGTTCATACTTTCATTTTGAAGATAGAGGGAGAATCATAGATGATTTACCTGTGGCAAGAGACATGATCAGAGTTGTATGTTAGGAAGGCAATCTTGGAAGCAGTACAGGGGAAACTAAGAATGAGAGATTAAGAGACTGGCTGGGAGACTATTGCTGTATTTCAGTGAGAGATCATGTGGACTTATCACTTACTTTTAGGACAAAGTAAAGGCAGAATTTAAGTTATTTCAGGGTGTGTGGAAGATTTTTGAAGACCTTAAAAAATAAAATAATTTTGTTTAGCATCCTTTCATTGTATGTGTGTGTTATGTATGTGTAGTGAAGTGTTCATGTGCTATAAATTTATATTGTATATAATGTTTAATTTTGTTTTTGTAAATCTCAAGTTAGTTTCTTAAAAATTATTAGCATATATTAATTGTACAAAATAATGTATTTTGTTATATCTTTTCATATTTTATACAAGTTGTATAACTTGCATTTCTGGTGAAATGTTTTAGGTTCAAGGGTTCTCATTTTTAGCCAGATGACTCGCTTGCTGGATATTTTGGAGGATTATTGTATGTGGCGTGGTTATGAGTATTGTCGACTGGATGGACAAACCCCACATGAAGAAAGAGAGGTAAGGAAGAGAAAATAAAACAAGACTTGAAAAATCAGAGTTCAGTTAAGCAATGTTTTTCATCATTAGGAAGTTTTGAGCTTTAGCCTTTTCTTTAGCTAAGGTGCATTGAATTTCTCACTACCATCACTCTCTTTCTTCCATCTTCAGTTTGACTTCCAGTCTGCTGACTTTACAAATCATTCTGTTCAAGGTCTTCTCTTCAAAGACAAGCTTATCTAAAGAAAGTAAATGATTCCATCCTTATCTCCTCTAACCACTACTATCTAGGGCTCTTGATTGCTGTTTCTCAACTTACTCTCTGACCTCTGAATCTTTGTCATTTTCTTTCTTTATTTTTTTTCCTCTTATAGTAGACCCTTGCCATTCGTGGAGTTTGATGGTGGAGATTTTGCTGGTTTATGAGCAATCTGAAAGACTGACAGAGTATAGTAATCTGTAAAGTGAATAATGTTGGTTTTATAGAACTTTTGTAAAAAAATAAGTATGGTCACATAGGTGTAGGTGCTTACCATGTATTTTGGATCTTGGGAATACTACATTTTGCTGTATAGGAATGAGTTACTTAGTAAGCCTCCCTAGCATCCAGTATCTTTCTCAAATTTGCAAAATCTTGTAAGTCTTTAGATTATGTGTCACACATGGCATGGGTCTAATGCATTTTAAACCTATTAAAGCACTGTTTTAGAAGGCTTTGCTAATTTATCTTCTATTGTCTGTGATCCTTCAGGGCTCTGTCTTTGGCTTCTGTTTTAATCTGTGCTCATGCTCTTGGCAAAAAGGTCATGATTTTACAAAACCACTGAACTTGGTTTCAGAAGACCTGAGTTTTAATACCAATACCACCACTTTGTAGTGTGTGCAAGCCATTTAATTCTCTGAGCCTCAGTATCTTTAATAGTATAATAAAAATTAAATTAGCACAGCTAGAATTTTATTTCTAACAATGTTGTGAAAATCAGTGCATATAGTAGGAATAGATTTAAACTGCCTAGTGCAGTATGTACCACGTACCGTGACATTGCATACAGATCTATCTCTCAGCTTTAGGGACCCTTCTCAGGCTGCAAGGACCCTCAGCCCATGTTCCTCTCCTTCCATAGACAGTGCACTCTGTCTTTGTGCACACCCTGAAGTCTGGCTGTAGCATATGATAGTGTTTGCAGCACCACATAGGCCCTTTTAATATTAAGGGGTTTTTTTGCTGCCCACTGTAGAAAAATAGTTTTGATAACATTTATCCACATGGGATATTTCAAAGCTTACATCGTACCCTACCCTGTAGCTTTTTAAAATTCTCTCTAAGATGGTAACTTGAAGATTCACTGTTTTTTTTTCCTGATTTATTCCTCAGAACCAGCTTCTCCAAATCTACATTAATCATAACCTGTCTAATAAATCTAGCATGACCCTTCTTGCTTGAATGATGAGGATACCAAGGTAGAATAGTATGGACTTTCTGACCTTATATATTCATTTTGCACTTCTAACTGATCTCTTTGCTCGTTATCTATTTATGTCCGAATTCTTCTGGTTTTAAAAATTTCAAATAATGTTTTACCTTTGGAGCCTTCATTTTTTTTCTTGGAAATGCCCTAATTTCCCATTATGCTGTTGTCCATACCGTCATTTCATCTGTTTTCCCAATAGGAAGGTGAAGATCACATTTCATTCCTTACTCTGATTATGTGCCAGCTGCAAAGGAAAAAAAATTTCTCATTAGTTTTCGGATTTGCCCTTTCTTCATTACTACAGCTAAATTCAGCTAGCTAGCCCTCTGGGTGTCCTCTGACTTAATTGGCCTCCTCACTTTTATAGAAAGAGGAACTAACATTTGTCAAGATACTACTATAAGCTAGGCAAAAAAGTTCCAATTGAATTCTCCCAGCGGCCTGTGTAAAGTATTGATACAATTTTCTCCATGTGAAACTGTGTCTCAGAGAGGTTAAATGCTTGCCCAGGATCACAGATGTAATAAATGGTTGAGCTGTGATTCACTGCTAGGTTTTTGCTATTTCCTGTACACCAAAGTGCCTCTCACTACACCATGCTGCTTTCTTTATTGTCCCTTCTACATGCTCTACTGACTGTGGCAGTGGGAGTCACCTTTTCTGCCTAGAACTTTAAGCATGCCAGTCCATTCCTTTAAAAAGGCTAATTTCCTGCATTTTGTGGTTATATAAGCAATACATGAATGCCGAAGGAAATTTGGAAGATGAAGTATTTCTGGACAATCTTTATGAATATATAATATATAAGTAAATGATATCATGCTATATGTTTGTGTGCTGTATATAAAGTTCAGTATCCTGATACTTTTTATTCAACATTATATTGTACTATACTTTAAAAAGTACCATTAAAAGTGGTCTTAGAGTAATATTTTATCATAAGGAAGTACTAGAAATAACTTACCCCTTGTTGTTGATCATTTAGGTTGTTTCCAATTTTTCACTAATATAAATAATGCTACAGTGAAAGTCCTTATACATAAATCTTGTGCACATCTCTGATTATTTCCTTAGGATAAATTCCTAGAAGTGGAATTACTGGGTCAGAGGGTATGAACATTTTTAAGGCTCTTGATGCATATTGCCAAATTGCTTTCCAGAAAGGTTGTACCAATTTACACTCCCAGCAGCAATGTATGAGAGTGCCCGTCTCACCGTCCCCTCGTCAACATTGAGTATTATCATTTTTTAATCTTCAAAAACGTATTATGTTGTTTTAGTTTGCATTTATTTGATAACTATTGAGATTGAACATTATTCTTTTATTATCCCATTTGTGTTTGTTCTGTGAATTGTTTGTTCTCCCTTTCCTTATTTTTCTATTGGATTATTAGTGTTTTTTTCTGATTAATTTGCATGAGATCTTTATATAAAAGGATAGTCACATCACATTAATTTTTAATATTTCTGGAACTGTCTTTCTAATTTTCCTTGATTTACCCATTTGTTCCTTCACATCATACTAATATAAACCTTATCTAATGCTCTCATTTACAGTTCTAAGCTTTTTCTCTCCTGATTGATCTTAGCTATACTTTCCTTCATCAATCTTTTGGAACGAAGTTGAGATTTCTGACATTTTACCCTTCCTCAGATATATTTCAGCTGTCAATCAATTAGGACATTTGTACTATTATTGTTTTGAAAGAATGTAAATGAATTATTACTTGCATAGTTGCAATTGTTTATGTTATTCTTCAAAGTGTTTCTCTATTGCTATAAGCTTTTAAAGGTTAGGAATTTAATTTACTATGTGTTCCTACAGCCATTCACACAGTAGAATACATAGAAAGATATTTTTGAAGATGAAGAATATTATAAAGTATGTTTAGAAATAATATGTATAAAGTGTATAAATATTTTCTATATGCATGTTAAAAACTTTATTTGTAAGATTGGTAATGTAATTTGGTCTTTTCTCCTTTTTTATATTCCTTTGTCAATTAAAAAAGGAAGCAATAGATGCCTTTAATGCTCCTCACAGTGGCAAATTCATCTTTATGCTGAGTACCAGGGCTGGAGGACTTGGAATTAACTTGGCAAGTGCCGACGTGGTTATCCTATATGATTCAGACTGGAATCCACAGGTTGATCTACAAGCTATGGTTAGTAATCCTTAATAATGTCAGGAAATTATCACAGCTCAGAATTGTTCTTTATATAGCACAAAGGTAATTTATGATGAAAGGGTTACAATTTTGGTTTTGTAGAAATTAGAGTAGGTTATCTTGGAATTTAAAATTGTTGTGCTAATTTAAAACAAAAGAAATAGGAATAAACATTTCCTAAATATAACCATAGCATTTACGTGTCAGGTTTGGCTTTTACCATGAAACGGAAATGTCAGTCTTTTCTTATTCTTGAGGATTGAAGAGGACACATGTATCTGTTTTAATGAAAAGATGAAAAGGGCTAGAAATCAGTCTCTCATCATTATTCTGTTAACAACTAAATCTATTAAAATCCTTAGTCCTAAAATTGGGAGAGATCAGATTTTAACTTTTGCTATTGGAGAGAGAAGGTAAAATTGTAGGAAAGAAATAATGTATTGTCAGGAAAACATTTGCTCCTTAAGGACACCATCTGAAAAAAAATGTAATGTAAAATTCAGGAAGCTATTCTCTTACCTTTATCATGACATAAAAGCAACACCCTTGACATTTTGGTGTCGTTCACTGAGCTAAAGCTATAAATTCTTTAATGTAGCTTTCATTTCAAGATAAAGAAATATAATTTCAGAAGTAAAATGGTGCAAATTTGCTATGCGTTCAAAATCACAACAAATAATAGGACAATTAACCATTTTTTGAAACAATGAAAAGTCAAATGCTAATGAGGCATAATTTAGAAGTCATTCCTTTTATAATAGAGAATTAAGAGAAATTGGCCATTGGGATATTTTAAAATCGATATGCTTTGACCTAATTATTACTACTTTAGCATTGTATTGATATAACTGACATAACTAAGTAGGAGTAAACTCCAGTAAGTTACAGTGTTACCGAGCTGGAAAACCTAATGGTGATAGCCATTTTCTTGTAAGTATTATGAGTACCTTGGTTTTTCATGACTTATTAGTTGGAGTTTAAAACTTTAAATAGGTGTAGGGTATTGCATTCTCTTTTAATGTGTTTTATTGAAATTTTGTTACAAGGCTCTAGTATTTTTATATTTAGTACAAAGGCTATTTGGGGCCTTGTTTCTTTGATCCTTGCCCCTACCCCCCCATCTATTTGCTCTGTTAGTTTCTGTGTTTTAAAAATATTCTCCCTAGATGTCTTTATGTTACCAGAAGTTACCACCTGTCACTTTTGCCAACTATTAACCATAGGACCAACTCTAGACCAGTGTATAGTAAGGGTATTAATATTCCATTAATTTTATGACCCTTTGCTGTGTGTCCCTCAATTGCCTTGGTACAGAAAGAACTTGATGATGAGATAAAGCAGACTTTTCCCACCATAGCAACCTTTGCTGACTACTTATAAAACTCTTGTTGGGCTGGAAGATGTTTGTGTTTAGTGGCTTAAAGTTACTTAGTAACTCAATCCAAAAGCTTTCATCTCCCTCCTGTCTTCATTTTAAAGTGGCTTTGCCTTTTGTCCTTTTGGAAGTTTCCCATTAGTAGTATAGTATATTTGCAGATTTCTTTGTTCCTAGGGGTTTTTGGATATTTTTAGCATTTATCAGCTTCCTTTCAAAAGTGGCTGGTTTATAGAGATAAAGAACTAATTTTATATTTAGAATTTTATAGCACATTATGACTGTACTCTAAATTTTATTTGGGATATCCAATGTCTCATAGAAGGATTTTTTTTATTAGGATCGAGCACATCGTATTGGTCAGAAGAAGCCAGTACGAGTATTCCGTCTCATCACTGACAACACTGTTGAAGAGAGGATTGTAGAGAGAGCTGAGATAAAACTGAGACTTGATTCAATTGTTATACAACAAGGTATTTACATTATAAACTTAATTAGGTGGCTTTTTGCAAAAACACAATTTTCTTCAAAGGCGATGACTTTTATTAAAAATTCACCAAAATTTGCAAAACTTTGAGAAGCAAATTGGTTTAAAAAATGCTTTTAAGTCTTCCTAATTGAAACCCTTGCATTTAATACATGGACTAGTTCAGTGTTGCTAGAGTACAGGCAAATGCCAATGGCATGCCTTGTTAACTACCTGATATTATTTAGCAGATAAATGTATATATTTAAAAAATTTAAGGATGTATTGGAGGTACTTTACCACATAGAGAAGTTTGATTTGAATAACTAACTTTGAACATGAAATAGGGTTTCTATCCTTCTGAGTTTTAACTGAGTTTTACAAAAGGAAATTTATAGTGAAATAGAAAATAATGGTAGAAGAAAAATTTATAGTGTTCATTCAACAAAAAAATTAAAACTCTTTGATTTTTCTTATAATATTGCCATATGTATGGTTTAATGTGATCTGATTAGAATTATTATGCTGTGTTTTCTTTGGAAAATAATTGGTCAAACATATTTTAATTTTTATTATTAGGAAGACTCATTGATCAGCAATCTAACAAGTTGGCAAAAGAAGAAATGCTACAAATGATACGTCATGGAGCCACCCATGTTTTTGCTTCTAAAGAAAGTGAGCTGACAGATGAAGACATTGCAACTATTCTGGAAAGAGGAGAAAAGAAGGTTAGTTAAAATAGCATTGTATTTGCGTGATGATTTACTTTAAAATCAACATACTTCAGCATACTTACTGTATTTGCATTGTACCAAGCTACATGTCTCAAATAACTCAGGTTCTTTCTTAAGAGCTTATAGATTTATTTCCAGGTGTAAATCAGTAGCTTTTCTACATACCAACAATGAATAGACTGAGAAAGAAATTAGGGAAACAATCCCATTTACACGAGCCTCAGAAACAATAAAGTACCTTGGAATAAATTTAATGAAAGAAACAAAAGACCTTTTTAATGGAAACTATAAACCACTGAAGAGGGAAATCAAAGAAGACATCAGAAGATGGAAAGACCTTCCATGCTTGTGGATTGGTATAATCAACATCGTGAAAATGGCCATACTACCAAAAGCAATCCACATGTTCAATGCAATCCCTATCAAAGTTCCAATGACGTTCTGCCCAGAAATATAAAAAGCAATTGTGAAATATGTATGGAAATACAAAAGACCTCGAATAGCCAAAGCGATTCTGAGCAAAAAGTCCAATGCTACAGGCATCACAAACCTGACTTCAAACTATACTACAGCATGACATTGGCATAAAAACAGAAAGGAAGACCAATAGATCAGAATAGAAGATCCAAATATTAAACCCATGCATCTATAGCCAACTGATCTTCGACAAAGGAGAACAAAACCCACGATGAAGAAAAGACAGCCTCTTCAACAAATGCTGCTGGGAAAACTGGATATCCACATGCAGAAGACTGAAACTAGATCTCTGTCTTTAACCCTGTACCAAAATCAACTCAAAGTGAATCAAAGATCTTAATATAAGGCCTGAAATTTTGAAACAACTCCAGGAAGCAGTAGGAAATACACTGGAATAGATAGGTGTAGGGATCGACTTCCTAAATAGAACTCAAAAGGCTCAGCATCCAAGAGAAACAATGAACAAATGGGACTGCGTCAAACTAAAGAGCTCCTGCATAGCAAAGGAAACAGTCACTAGACTCAAGAGACAGCCCACAGAATGGGAGAAAATCTTTGCCAGCTACTCATCTGATAAGGGACTAATATCCAAAATCTACAGGGAATTCAAAAAACTCAGCCCCCGTAGAATCAACACCCCAATGAAGAAATGGGCACATGAATTAACAGGGAATTCTCAAAGGAAGAGGTACAAATGGCCAGTAAATACATGAAGAAGTGTTCAACTTCCCTGGTTATAAAAGAGATGCAAATCAAAACAACACTTAGATTCCATCTCATCCCAGTTAGAATGGCTACTATAATCAAGGGTAATAACAACAATAAATGCTGGCGAGGATGTGGTGAAACAGGAACCCTTACATACTGTTGGTGGGAATGCAAGTTAGTACAACCACTGTAGAAAGCAGTATGGAGATTCCTCAAAAAACTAGAGCTAGTACTGCCATATGATCCAGTGATGCCACTCTTGGGCATCTACCCAAAGGAATGTAAGACAGCATACAGTAGAGACAACTGTACACCGATGTTCATTGCAGCACTATTTGCAATAGCCAAGCTCTGGAAACAACCCAGGTGCCCTACAACTGATGAATGGATCAAGAAAATGTGATATATATATACACAATGGAGTATTACTCAGCCATAAGGAATAATGCCATGTGGTTTGAAGGTAAATGGATGCAATTGAAGGACATCATGTTAAGTGAAGTAAGCCAGGATCAAAAACACAAAATCCGCATGTTTTCTCTCATATGTGGAAGATAGATCCAAAGATAAACATATACACAAAAACAAGCATGATCATATACAAACTCAGATGTAGAGCACGTTTGTAACAGTAGAACTGCTCTATGGAACTCTGGGAAAGAAGGAAAGGAAAAGAGAATGGTAGAGCATCAGTTATATCGCAAAACAAGATGTGAAGGTAGAGGATATAAGGATGTGTATTGAAAGCTGTTGGAAAATGTGGGGTGGGGAGGTGGAAGGTAAAGGGGCAAAGGAGAGTAATGGAAGAAGTAAAGCACACCAACAGCAGGCATACATTGAGACACTCTTTTGAACATCAACTTAAATATTTAATAACAAAATCCAGGACTGAAAAATAGGTACAGTGTGTGTGGGGGGAGGTACTAGTGGGAGGGGGGAGAGTGAAGGAAGGAGATTAAGGTGAGGGTATATGGTTGATGGACTTCATATATCTATGAAACAAAACTAAGAAACCTCTTATAAGAGCCTTAAGTGGTATGGGGAGGGGGTTGTGGGGGAGAGACAATGGGGAAAATGTAAATAATGTACAATATAAGTCTAATTGGAATTGTCACTACGAATCTTCCCCCCCATAATGAATATATCCTAATAAAAAACCTATATAAAAAAGACTTTTTTTGGATGAGAAAGATTAAGCACCAGGGTTTAAAATTAAGTGACCTTATGCCTCACACTTGTTGAAAATTGTGCTTATTAAAAATGCTGAACTTAAAAGCCACATAAATTTTGTATTAAATCACATTTATAAGAACTGCCTTTTCATAATCTTTTTTGCATTGGGTTAGAATTAATTTGATACATTGTGTTAATTGAAAGTTTTTTTGTAAACGTTGCACAAAACATCAGATCATTATTTGTTAAAGCATCATGTCACTTCAAAATATTAGTTTCATGTTTAATGTACCTATCACCACAAATTATGAGTAATTTTAAACATGAGCAAAGGTAGACAAATAGTATAATGAATTTTCATGTACTTATCACCTGTCACATCCCCAGTTCATTTTTCCCGTTCCTGGATTATTTTGAAGCAAATTTCATTATTTCAACTGTAAATATTTCACGATATATTTCTAAAATACAAGTATTCCTAGGATTGGGCGCATAGCTCAAGTGATAAGAAAGCTTGCCTAGCAAGCATGAGTTCCTGAGTTCAAGCCTTAGTACTGCCAAAAAAAAGAGAAAGAGGGCTCTTTTCAAAAACATAATCATTATAGCATAGTCCCATGTGAAAAATTCCTGGAATTCTTTAATAACATCAAATATCCAGTAACTATTCCAAATTTCCAATTGGTTTATAAAAAGCTCTATTTAATTTTTTTTCTTTTTTAAAGGTCAGTGCAAATAAGGTCTGTACACTGATATTGATTGCATTTTTTTAAACGATAGTTCCCAGTCGTCCAGTTATGTATTTTTTCTTCCTAATTTTATTTTGGTTGTTAGAAATTGAGGTTCTTTTGTTTTTGAGTTTCTGTCTTTGTGTGGATTGTCTTGATCATATCATGGTGGCTTTTTTAATATGTTTCACTTATTGGTATATAGCCGTTAATTTTGTTATTTTAATACAAAAAATATCTGAAGCTGGGTACTTTCTTGCGAAAAGAGGTTAACGGCCTCACAGTTTTGAAGTTCCAAGAGCATGGTGCTGGCATTGGCTATCTTGGTAAGGGACTTCATGGAGGATCTATGGCATCACATGTGGGGAGAGTGGTGGCTGTGTGTTGTTGTGTCGTGAGAGAGAGAGAGAGAGAGAGAGAATGAGAGAGAGAAGAGAAGAGAGAGAGAGAGAAGCAGAGACCCTGATTTTATAACAACCCACTATCAGAGTAATTAGTCGAGTCCCATGGAGGCAAGAACAACTCCTGTGAGACCTACTCGCTTCAAAAAGAATAGCCTTTGCCTGGTTTTGGATAAGTGTAATAGTGGCTTGTCATTAAAATGTGTTTGCAGTTTTCCTTCCCTTCTATTTCATGGAACGTTTAAGGAAGGTTGGTAATCAGTTCTTCTTTAAAGGTCTAGATAGAAATTTAGCAGAGAACTCCATTTTCAGGTCTGGACTTTCTTATTGGGGAAGACTCTTGATTGCTGCTTACAATTTCATTTGTTTTATAGGTCGATTTCAGGTGGATTACTTTACCTCTTGGTTCAGTTTTGGATGATACATATGTATCTAGAATCTGTCCATTTCGTTTTAGATTTTTCATTTATTTTGATAGTAGTGCAGACATGTGGAAGACCAGTGGGGGAACAGAATAGAGGATCCAGATATGAAGCCACACAACTATGAGCACTTATCTTTGACAAAGGAGCTAAAAATATACGATGGAGAAATAGCAGCCTCTTCACAAAAAACTGCTGGGAAAACTGGTTAGCAGTCTGCAAAAACTGAAACTAGATCCATGTATATCACCCTATACCAAGATTAACTCAAAATGGATCAAGGATCTTAATATCAGCCCAAACTCTTAAGTTGATACAGAAAGAGTAGGAAATACTCTGGAGTTAGTAGGTATAGGTAAGAACTTTCTCAATGAAACCCCAGCAGCACAGCAACTAAGAGATAGCATAGATAAATGGGACCTCATAAAACTAAAAAGCTTCTGTTCATCAAAAGAAATGGTCTCTAAACTGAAGAGAACACCCACAGAGTGGGAGAAAATATTTGCCAATATACATCAGACAAAGGACTGATAACCAGAATATACAGGGAACTTAAAAAACTAAATTCTCCCAAAACTAATGAACCAATAAAGAAATGGGCAGTGAACTAAACAGAACTTTCTCAAAAGAAGAAATTCAAATGGCCAGAAAACACATGAAAAAATGCTCACCATCTCTAGCAATAAAGGAAATGCAAATTAAAACCACACTAAGATTCCACCTCACCCCTGTTAGAATAGCCATCATCAGCAACACCACCAACAACAGGTGTTGGCGAGGATGGGGAAAAAGGAACCCTCTTACACTGTTGGTGGGAATGTAGACTAGTACAACCACTCTGGAAAAAAATTTGGAGGCTACTTAAAAAGCTGGACATCGATCTACCATTTGATCCAGCAATACCACTCTTGGGGATATACCCAAAAGACTGTTACTCCAGAGGCACCTGCACATCCATGTTTATTGCGGCACTATTCACAATAGCCAAGTTATGGAAACAGCCAAGATGCCCCAGCACTGACGAATGGATTAAGAAAATGTGGTATCTATACACAATGGAATTTTATGCAGCCATGAAGAAGAACGAA